AGGGCGGACACCAGCAGTGACAGACCTGGGAGACAAATGAATAGAAACGCTACATGGCCAGCGGAAAAGGGCGGACACCAGCAGTGACGCAAAGGGCGGACACATCTTAAGAAAGAATTGAGAACCCCTAACAGTAAACTGTTTGGGGAAAAACATCCGAGGATCTTCCGACTGAGCCGGTGCTGCGATCCAGATCAAGACCGCAAACCTGTCGGGTGAGACGACTTCCGTCCACGGTCCCGTGCGGCCATCGCGGTGAACTGGGACACAGGTCTGTGGTGCGCAGTTCAGCGGTCTCTCGCAGCTTAGCGGTTGGTTCAATCTGCCCATCATGGTCCATTCACTGAGTTTCAGGCCATCTGAAGATGGTGGCCACACCAAACAGCGGCCAGGCAAATGAGCCGCGATGAGCCGCGTGAAAGTAAGAAAATGTTAGGAAGTTGTTCAATCTCCAAAAGGGGTGATGTTGTTTTACCATGTTTTACCATGGCTGACCCTGCCATGCTTTACGCATCTGGAGGACGTGGGAACTTTTGGATAGGAACATCGAGGAACATCTAGGAACATGAGCAGTGATCATATGCAGTGATGCAAGAACTGGCTTGCCTATGGCTTGCCTCTCTTCATCTACTTGCACTATTTTGCCTATTGCTGCGACGCGGCATGGAGCATCACGGCCAACATATGCAAACATTGGCGACACCTCATGGTTGCTCGATCCAATCGTGAAAAACAGCGGTGCAAAGGCACTGCGGTGTCGCGCGTTTTGCCGCGACGTCAGGTGCGTCCCTTCGTCACGGTGACTTTGCCGTGCGATCCTTGGTTCGCCGGATGCACCGGCCATCTCATCCTTTCTCCTTCTTGCGCCGTTTGGCAGCTTCCCTGGCCTCCGGAAGTGGCAGGGCAGTCTTTATAGGGTCCAATGTGGGGTGTGGTGAGGTATTCTTGGACTATTCTGCAATCGAGTGCGGAGGATGCAGAAAAGGATACTATTGGCGGGATTTATTCTGCAAAGCCTTGCACAAACACTGGAACGTGTCTCTGTAGGACCGTCACTGTCGGAGTAAGTCGCTCCCACCTAAATCTTCAACCTCGGTGGGCCACATGATTTGCTAAGCGAGTACAGTCATCCTGGCTTAGCATCGAAGCACTACTCCTCACATCTCTTCACCGACAGGACCCGACGTTGCGCCTGCTGTCGCTGTCTCCGCCGCTCCAGCCGTTTCTTGGCATGAGCCTGTGATGTTTCATCACGTTTCAAGGGTGAAAAGAAGGACACCCGGGTTGACCCCTTTTCAAAGGAACCAATGTCGTTCCATAAAGGATGTCCACCGAACCCATTGACCCATGGTTGATTCTTGGGGGAGGTTGGGACTCGGGGCGCCAAGTCTCTTCCCGAGGGGACCACTCTCAGGTAGAAGGTTGGAGAAAGAGTCCAAGTTGATTTGAGCCAATGTCGTTCCATATCATCCTTCCAAGAAGTTCCTGCAGGAAAACGAAAAATGTCATTGTATAAGGCCACCAAACGCCCCAATATATTTGATGCATGCAAAACAAATAATAGAACAATATATGAACAATGCTCAGGATCGCAGCAAGAGAGGGAACGACACATTGTGTTCAATGTCGAATAATGAAACGGCGAACCGGAACCAATTTTTGGGAGACCGCATGTCACCAATGTAGCCCATCACAGGCTCAGGAAACATGTACGACATGTTGCTCAGCTCCAACGTGATTTCACCATGAAGATAATATATGCAGGAAACGCGGCGCCTTCATGCAAACAGTCGCAAAGACTTGCTGCCACCAAGACAAAGAACAGCTGCCGGTCAATCTTTCGATCAAGCATCAGTAGGGTGATGATGAACATTGACGAATGCAAGCACTTGACTCAGTGACCTCCAAAAGCGGCAGGTCTGTGTAGAAGCTCCGCAAAGGCTCTTGCTCTTCTGCCTGTGGTGATCACTTTCATTAATTAGCCATCCTTTCCAATTCATTTGCTGAAGTAGATCAAACATGATAGAACATGGTTAAACTATGTTAAACTCACAAAAAATCGTTGGTTCCTGCCTGAAAGCGAACGTCTGTAATACGCGCTGGACGACCCACAACGACCTAACGACCCCCACGGCTTCCAATGCCTTGACCGTGTTGGACAACATCACGTCTCGACCTGACGGACGAAACGGCCGACCTCACCCAACGACCTCACGGAACGGGTCCCACGTGACGTCTGCCAACAAAGCCAGTGCAGGACGAAGCAATGTTTGCTGTTTGGCCCGAACTTAGAAGAACCATGTAAACGGTTGATCAATAGATATCAATAGCCCCTCTCACAATGTAGTCTTTACAAAACCCCTCTTGGTTTGTAGATATTCCAGTCCCATAGTGCAGGAGTTCATGAACAACCCCGGCTATTTGGATTGTAGAACGAAGAGGCCTGGGGGATTGAAATATGATCAACAGTCTACATTAGTAATTCTGGAAGCCTGAGTGTGAACATGTTTTCACCACTGCAACTGCTATTCTTTTGGAGTCTCCCCAAATCCCGTCACCGACAGATGGAGAAAGGAGTCTGTCCAAACCAACCAACACCAGACATGAAGGAGTCTGCCGCTGTTTAGGAACGGGTAACAGAAATCTTCCTTTGGGGACCAAAAATGCAATGCACTCTGAAATTTATATGCCTGGACCATCCTGTCTGGGTGTCCTGTCTGGAGATCCGGGATAGTGACCTGGAGGGTAGTCCAGCCAGATGACCCAAACAGGATAGTCCTGGGTGCTTTTTGTGCACCTGGACCCCTCCCAAGTACCTTTGAACATGGGACATGACCCTTTCAATGCAGCTACTTGTACCCCTTTTTCCAGATACGATCTGAGACTCCAGGTCTCTCTTTTCTCTTTTCACATGACCGGCGGTGTGAGACAGGCCGCACGCCTTTCATTTGAAGAAGTCCTTGGGTTTCCATCTGCTGCAGGAGCGCCTGGAGCCAGAATCTCGGACAGGCAAAACAATATCACAAGAAGGGCGTGACATACTTAATACATCTTAATACAGATACATTTATAAGAATACGATACAGCAAAAACAAAAAGTGCATCAGCACATATAGCTCGCTCCCACCTGCGCCAATGCAGAACTGATGCTGAGCCCATTCTCTTGAGAAACACGGGTCACGAGAGATGCCTCAGCCCGTCGCCAGCTGCACGACCGGATCGAACGATCCACGGCCCACGATCCGGTGGTCAGTCCGTGCCTCCCGGAAACTTACCCAATCGATGAACCGAGGGTGGCAGTGGATCCCAGCCAGGCATGGGCATAAAATGCCACAAATCTGATTTGTAGCAAGGACGCTACTATATAGTAGCTCCTGGCATTACTACTAGGAACAAGAAGCTATTAGTAACAAGGCATCGCTACTAGTAACAAGTCCAGAACTACTAGTAGCAAGAAGATACATCCAAATGTGTGATTTGCAGAACAAACACAAGTCCTTCAAGAGCTTTGATGAGCTTTGTTTGTCCAGGTTTGTTTCATACGAGGTCTCCAAGTTCACCCGAAGGAATGGGCACCAGTTCAATGTGCCTGATTTTTGCTCGTTAAGGTGAAGCATGGCTAAACACTCCATAGCACTCCGAACATTCCGCAAGCCTAGGACAAGAGCCACAACTGCAAGTGGCATAAGTGATAAGTAATGATAAGTGTGTGTCTGCAGTTCTACCAAAAGGAGTACCGTATAAGTGAGTACTCCCTCTCGTCCGACTACTGATGAGACACTCTCCAAGCCTGGCTTGTGCCCCCCTTCGAAATCTATGTCCAATGAAAAGGGGATCGGCGACAAATGAACGGCACTCGACGAAGGTGGATGATTCTTCCAATGCACCATAGTCTGGGCCACCAAACCATCTGCCCCCGGCGTTGGCCACGTGAGCCATCGGCCATGCGCTGTAGGGCAGGCCTGCAGACCGCGGAGTGTTCCGGAGATCAGTGAAATGCTTCCCACACCTTCACAAAATGGTTGCTGCCTCGGCTGCCCTCTTGTGCCGTGCCGATGTCAGTTGCTGTCTCCAAAAACCACCTCTTCGACGGACATGTTCAACACCACACTGCATCTTTGCCCCATACCATCCGACAATCTCCGACATCCTCCGACCTCTCTCATCTGTCCAGTCCGAACCCCGACAACTCGACCCACATCCTCGAGGAATGCCAACGGTCCGCCTTCACTCCGAACAAGCGCCGAGGTGCCGGAGTAAGATACTTACTATATATATATATGTGTGTATGTGTGTCATATATATATTATATAGATTAGTTATATATATTAAGTTATATATATATTAGTTATATATATATGTATATTAGTTATATATATATATATATTAGTGTTATATATATATATTAGTTATATTGTATTATATTGTCATACCAGGAGTCACAAGACGGGGTGGCTTTTAGTCTTATGCAGTGAGTGGATAATGGGCACCCCAAACTTCCATTAAGCAGCCCTTTGTGACTGCTGGTGTATGTATATATTTCTACATGAACGGCATTTAAACCACCCCAATGAAAGTCAATGCTTTCATTGATGTTTCTACTGATGTTTCCGATGCCAGTCCCATGGCCGAGTCCAACACGGATCTTCTATCACTGTGGAGCCCTGGCAAAAGACTCTGCGAAAGCCGTTCCATCGCCTGACGCCCGGAGCGCTCAGTGACCGGTATTTGAACCGCTTCTTTTGGAGTGGCAGGTTCTGAACCAATGATTTGTATAGAAAGTAACATTGAGTTGTATTCAGTTGAACTATGTACTGTATATGGTGTATATGTAACTATTTACAATCAAAAGATGGCAACAGCACAGCTTGAGACAACATGTAGAGGTGGCTCTGGTGTTCTCAATGCCCCTCATGATTTCTAAACCTTCCAACCCGAGGATGAATGGCTGGGGCGGAAAGCCCACTGGAAACCGTTCAAAAGGAGACGAAGGGCTGGGGCTTCCAGTCGAAACCTGAAGCTCCAAACCCTGGTAGGTTCACTATGTCTGGTAGACTCTTGATGATGAAACCCGACTTAAGCCCCCCTTTAAAAACAGATCTTGTACAATCCAAAATGGGACGGTGTTACCAATGGAATTCGTCGAACCATGAATTCGTCTATTCTCTGTCAATGTTCGAAGGGTCTCTCCGAGTCTCTTCCAGGCCCCGCCCCCGCGTTTGACCCACTGCCATCTGAGAAGATGCGAGGTTTCAGCACTTCAGCGCGGACCTGGAACACCTCGGCTGTCCCCTCCTTGGCGAGGTCCTTTTCCTGGAGATCACCGATGTTCTCGATCGAAGTGGAGCGAATTGCTACCAGTCACCTGGAGAAAAGTCTGAATTCTGAAGAATGCATGAATAGTCCCCATGGAATGCTGAAAGCAATGGCAACGGTTGTCTAGTTTTCTGCCACATCTTTTGAGGAAGATAGGTTAAAAACAATGCTGACTAAGCACTCGGATACCACACAGCGACGGTGTTTCCCGGACCCGCACGCAGGGTATCCACAGAGTTACCTGTGCGACCTGGAGTTCAAGGGGAAGAAACGGCTGAAACCGCCTGCTGAGCCCAAACGCCCCACGCCTGCTGGGCCTCTCCGCCCGCCCGGAGACGGCCCGATCGCGGCGGATCCCGGCGGCCTCTCTTCGCAAAGGTGCCAATCGCTCCAGCAAACGCCCCAGGCTTTTCCGAGGGTTTAACCTCACAAACCGACGTCACGTCAGCATGAAAAACTCCTTTCAGCAAAGAATCAATCATGATCAATCGAAGGCAAAAATCCAACTGCAAGGAAGTAGCAGTTAGCAGTAAGACCTACAAAAGGCAGTTTACAACTGGTACTGGTACCTGTGCACAAAGAGAGAGAGAGAGAGAGGGAGAGATCCAAGGGTTTTGGTGCTGAGACAGGGGTGCGTCTTAGCAACGTCCTTGCTCCTAGCAGCGATGCCAGGAGCCCCTAGTAATGTCCTAGTAGTCTCAAGGGTTTTGTTTCGATGCCGAGATCTCAGGCGATTCGACTTGTCTCCCGAGTCTGCCGGCGCTCCAAATCGCCCAGGAGGAGCTTTCTGCCACGGCCCTTCCTCGGGACAAAGACTTGCAAAACAGTCATGGCGAGCAAACACCTTTCTGTCGTCTTCCCCCGACCAAAAATCACTTGAAATATCTTAACATCGCCTCACCAAGGCCTTTTTGAGACTCCATTCGAAATCTTGGTGCTTGGCATGAGGCAAATGGCTACCCTAGCCACGCAAAAAAAGGATGCCAATCACCGCATATCTTCGGACAAAAAAGGATCCCAAAACCTCGCGCTGACGAATGTCAGAACTAAAGTGTTTCCAACTCCCACGGTCGTCCAACACGGTCAACTAGGATGACCGACCAGCTTTGGTCTGACAGTTGCAGCACTGGGCCGCAGCAATGCTTTGAGGACCTCCGACTCGCTCCGACGAGCGAGTTGTTGGGGAAGCGTCGAAAAGCATGTTCGAAAGCATGTGTGAAGCCAAAAGTGAAAGTCAGCCCATGGGTTTCAGCCCAAGCTTTAGTTCTACCAGTATCTGTATGTATACTTTTGCGTACTGCCGTATACTGCTTAATAATATGTGTAATTATACGTAACAATAATTAATATATATTATATATTGTGTATGTCTATGTTACCCACAGGAAGAAATGGAAGTAATATATACTGTTGGCATGTCAAATAAATGCTCTTGATGGAAGCTCCCACTCTCCATCTCCTGTCGTGGCAAGTCCCCCCGGTCAGACCGGTTTTCAGGACAAATCCACCGATCCAATACAAATCAACCAGAACCCGGTTGGGGGTTCTCCTTGTTTGAATACTCACACCATCTCACACCCATATGTTGTTCGGCACATGGCTTCTTTGCGCGCCTGGAACAACCTCTCAACCAGTGGGCGAGGTGGTTGGCCATCATGGCGAGCCTTTCAGGAGCATCACATGTCACCCCAAAATGGGCACTGATACTGCTCACTTGGCATTTGGCAACAAGCCAAGGACCTACGTATTATACTATAATATAATATTATACATACTACTGCGGTTTCCTGGATTCCAGGATGGTTTATGATTGTCACTGCAGCCGCAGCTTCGGACTCATGGGCCAGTGGCACAATCCTCTCGACCACCTTTCCAGCTGCTGTGATGTGTCCACAGTCTCCACAGTCTCCAAAACCTCTTTTCCACTCCTTCGACAAGGCTCAATCCAGCTATGGACGCTGCGCAACGCGCTACAGGAGTCGCCACGGATGTGGCTAAGCTACCTGGTCATCGAAAAGCCGCTTCCGGCGAACGGAAGCAGGGAGCTCTACATGCAAGCTGAAAGCATTTATAAATATTAATTGTGACACTCTAGTGCCGACACAAATGTGTTCAGGTGTTCGAAGCCTGAAGTCTGCCTACTGCAATGCAGGCACAAAACTGTCAGCCACTTTCAGCTGTCACACCTGTTGCTCTCATGACATGCCTGCTTCAACATGTTCTAATGTGAGAGAGCAATGAGTGCAACCCCTGGCACGCGCAGGAGGAGGCCTAGTAGGGCGAAGATTCGACTGTGGCAACCCTGAAGCTCTCGAAAGCAAACCACACCAATGACAAGACCCAGGATGCCAGGCAAGCTGCCGATGATGGGGAATGCTACAGAGAAGCCAAGCTCGATGTTGGCGCGGAACCATGCCACCTGTGCAATGCCCCACAAAGCACCCGAGAGGATTGCCGGTACGATGCACTTGCAAGGGATGTAGCTTTGCCTGCCCTTGACCATGACATAGATCATCAGAGCAAGCCAAGCAGTCAATGAGATGCCAATGAAATGGCTGGAAACATAGTTAAGAATCTGTTTGCTGTGATGTGGCCCGAAGTCTCCGTGAAGGAGTTCCATCGGCAAATCAAAAGTTGTTCCAAATAGGCAACCTGCTATCAACGCCATCAGTAATCCACTCAGTGCTTGCAGAGTTCTGCCCTTTCTTGATGGTGTAGCCTTTTCATTCGTCTGCTTGCTTCGTCTTCTCTGTTCTTCAAGATCTACGTCTTCATCCTCAGGTCCCTGAGCCGGCTGTCTACTCTTTTCGTGAAGATCCGAAGAGGACGATCCTGAGGCATCAAATGCAGAGGCCAACGAGAAGAAGACCAAGGACACTGAGGCGAGACTGACTCCAAGGAGGTTCATCCCTGGATCTTTCACCACATCTTTGGGCAAGCCCAAGAGGCCCAAATAGCCCGTGACCCAGCCTGTCAGCATGTTGGTCAAATCCCAAACGGTTAAGCCCAGACCAAGGCCAATGGTCTGGATGATCTTTGGGCACATGAGGTTCCCTAGCATCCAAATGGCTCCGCCCAGAGCTGCTAAAGGCTCAAAGCGAGGAAGTTCAAAGACAGGGGCGCACAAGAACCTCAGGACTCTTGGAGTGCAAGCAGCTAAGCAGCGATCAATTAATCAAATACTTATACAATCTGAAAGGTCATGGAAAACTACACACCTACCTGGGACCTAGGACCTAACATCAATGCCTCTCGGTGAAAAACAAGGTTTGATCGCTCTTGAAGGCTTGGAGACGCTCACTTTGTTGGACCAGATATATATATTATAATATATACCAGGACCTTCCAACAGGTGGTTTTTCGACACCCCCTTTACCTCTAAGAGGCTATTTATAGGCAGTTTTATAGGCACCTCTTGGATGGTCCTGGTATATTATATATATATATATATATTTCGTTTGATGATTTCAGATCTGAAAGACTTCCAAGACACATCCCTGTGCATAGCCCAACAAGCAGGATTCCCAATGACATCACAGCCGAGAAGAAGATTCCATCGCCACAGTCGCAGCCTTTCACCGGCAAATAATTCACAGCAAAGCCAACCCCAGCCACAATACAACAGGCATATCCCAAAGAGCTCATCCCACAGGAAAAGGCCACAAAACTGTGGGGCGAAAATGAGGCTCTTGAGCCCAAGGTCGTGGCTGCCACACGGGAAAAGGCTCGCATGCAACCATCAAACCATCAGTGCTATGTCCCTCCATGCTGCAGTGTGTCCAGCTGATCCATCTCAAAGTGATGCCAAGGGTAGACCGTCACCAGTCCATGGGTCTACCACGCCACAAAAACGCGCAAAAACCTCCAAGTGCTCCGCCAAATAGACTGCCGCGCCAATCTGCCAACGAGGAGACATGGGAGAAGGAGAGGTGAAACCGGTTCCAGTTCTTGTTGTATTCTTTTGTTGGACCATTTTAGCCGAGGAGCAAGGTTCAAATCCTACTGCTGTAACTGTAGCCTGACCTGGCTAAACTCAACTAAGGTCCACGATCCACAGTGGAAAGTGACCTATCGGCAAGGACAAATCTTGTAGCCTCATGTGGAACTTGTGCCAACTATTGCCGTATTGGCTTTCAATATCTGAACGCATGCACATGCATGCATGCATATTCACATGTTCACAGCGGCTACCAGTATGGTCTGCTTCAGGGCAGTGGTTAGCAAAAAAGGACGTCTCAAACTGTCTCCATGATGTCTCTGTGTGATATTGTGTGATATGATGTATCTTCAATTTGTCAATTGTCTCCTTTGGACTTTTGGATATTTCATGATATTTCCACCATGTGAATACTCGGAACTTGGGCAAGTCGACAGCGACTTCTCCTTGCAAGCTTTCCTCCTTGTCTTTAAAGAAAGAACTATACAGTATGTTACAAAACAAACATGTTGATGGTTTTGCAGCATTTCTTGTGCTACGTGTTCTTGAGAGTTGTCAAAAGCACAAACACAAAGAAACCACGGCTTTCCTTCGGTGGGGAGTGACTGAACCAATGGCGGCCACGAAGCACCCAAAAGCCACCGCGGCGACGGCGTGGACGGCCTCTCCGCCAGCCACGGAGCGATCCAAGAGCTCGAGCACCTCGCTGAGGTGTTGGTTTCAGGTCCTTTCAACTTTCAACCAAAATAAAAGGTTCACTGGTGCCTCATGGAGCCATGGGTCATTGAGTATCATTGAGTCATTGAGTATCATTGGCCATGGAATCCAGGTGTTTGGCTTGAACAACTGGGGGATGGCATGTCCAGGACTTCGGGAATGAGACTGGGGAAAGGAGGGACGAAACCAATTTTGGTTCGTCAGATCATGATTTACATCGACATGTGTTTCAAATCAAAACTCTCCCACAACCTGAAAAACACGATCTCCACCAGGGCGAGATCCAAGCAAGAGAAACCACGGCACACATATGCCGCCCGAAGGCTCATTGGACCCGCATAGCTATTGCCATGTTTTGACCCTCAAAACCTCTCACAACCTAGGGTTTGGACCTCAAATATGTAGCAGTTGGTTCAGGTTCCGGGTCGCCCCTTTTTGGGGCGGCCCACCGGGTGTGCCCCGACCCGCATCTCCTCCTCCCACACCGGATGTTCACGTCCGCCTCCTCGACTCCGATTGGACTTCCACCCGCTGCTGTGGCGATCACGAACCCGATGCCCTGCCGGGGATGAACTCCCTCGCAACGGCCGCACGGCGCGTCACAGTTCCCATGAACCGGGTGACGGATGCCCCGTGGTTGGAACAAAGATGCCTGACCCAACTCATGGTGTCGTCTTTGGGGGCATGTTCTGTGTGACCCAAGAAATGGATCATTCCAGCAGTTCCATGCCAGGGTGCCAACCTGGAAGTAAGGTAGGGGTGCCCATTGACTCACTTAGGGTCTAAAAACAGCCTTAAGTTGCCATCCCCACATGGAACTCAGTGGTTCATGTCTTTTCTCACCGACTCCAAAAAGGTCGTACAGTCCTACATACATTTAATCTATTATATACATCATACATCTGTTTGAATTCCACCGGTCGCCCTTTTCACCTTTTCACGCGCCATGACGCACCCCCAAAAGGAGACAAAACAGATCGAAACAAATCTGGGCTCAGGGCAATATGAAGAATGTAGTTGATTTGGAAACTGACTCCGTTGGCTGAAGAAGGTCGCTTCTCGCATGATCTCCCAATCAATAGATGTGTTGAAGGGAAGATCTAACAGTGAAACCCATGGTTTTCGACCCCCAAAATCATGCGTTTCCGGTAGATGCTCCCTCAAAACCAATTCTGAGACCCAAATGGATCCAAGTGTGTATATGCCTGTGCCTATAGATTGACCCGTTTTCAACCACCCGTTTTTCTATAATTACAAATTTACAAATATGACAGTCCCAAACAGGTCCTGTCTGGGCATATCTGGGCCATGTATTGCCAGGGCCACGGGTGGGGCCCTGAGTGGTTGGGGCACTGCACCTTTTTCCCGGAGCAGCGGAGGTCCCTGGACCGGCAGACCACACGATGCGCGGCCACGGAAGGTCCAAGCACGGACGGCGACACCGCGACCAAATGCCGGCGACTGGGTGGGACTTGTTGACAGTGGGACGGTGAGCCTGGTTCGGCGTTTTTGTCTCTTTTTACAAAACAAAATCATGGAGAGTCGGTGGTTCTTCAAGACCTATTAAATTAAGCACCCGAACCTCGCAGCTAAACGCTAATCCGATGCTAAATCAACTAAATGATAGCCGATAGCCGATAGAGATTTTAGCACACGAACTCATCTGATCTGATGTGAACTCATCTATTGCTGAGTCTTGTGGTGAAGGTCTGCTACGAGTAGTGAAGGTCGGGTACCATGGTGCTGGTCTCGCTCAAAAGGAGTCGATGGCTAAAATATCTTTCAGCTCCACGTTCTATCCACTTTCTATCCTATCCCAATGCTCATCGCCTCTTGAATCTCTTCCGCCTCGGCCGTTGACAACCTCAGGGCAACGGTGCGATGATGAACGCCGGAGTGATGAATAGTGGGGCGATGATGCAGAGCTTCCAACAAGGACGTGTTTGTGTCTTCTTTTTTTCGGCCAGTGCGGCGATGTTGCCACCATTTTCAGAAAAGACACATGAAACAGTCTTAGACTGCCGCATCTATGAAAAACCATGAAACACCCACTATACGCACTATAGGTGCCCCCTTTTGTGGTCGATTGTATGGAAGAAAAGGGTTCGGCGATGTGTGGGAGGAGCATCCTGTTCGACGACAAGTGTTGAAGTCACTTCACTCAGTTTGTGGAAGAGTCATGAAAAATCCAGGATCCTCCTGTTCTGGGTGTGGCTGGAGGTCTCTCAGTAGTCTCTATTGGACACCTGGGTCATCCTTCCCAGGTCTTCCACCTTGTTTATCCCTTTTGGCCACCTGTTCCCACCGCCGACGATGCGGGTCGCCGCTGGAGCGTTGGCTCGGGTCGTCACTCGGGTCGCGTGACCCGCGACCACTCGGAGTCCTCGGACGAACGGCCGACCCGGTCGCGGCCGGTACCTCCGAACAGCACCGTTTGGTTTGCACCGGATGGGACGTTTAAGGAGTTGGATGATTTGGGGTTGGGGGAGGAAGCCTAATTCTATGGGAAGTCGCTGAACATGAGGTGAAACGCATGGGTTCCCGGTCATGATGGTCATGGAACGCACGGGTTCCCAGGTGACTCAGTCCGGAAACTATTGGAAACTGATGGGGCGAGGACTCCGGTGTCATGACTCATGGTCTAAAGACCAAAAAAATACCTATAGATGGAGTACACTGGAGTCTGAAAGTATCTCGGAAATTACATGAAAATACCAGGACCATCCAATGACTGTCCAATGGAGTACCCAACACCAACTAGGTATCTCCAAACAGGACACCCATTGGACGGTCCAGGTATTTTTGGGCACGGGTCATGTCCCATGTTCTGTTGTACGTGATCCATTGGATCCAGGTATACTATCCAAATCCATAAGGATAGCATATAAAAAAGTATAAATACACAATGATACATAATACATAGAACCAAATCCAGACAAATGATGGGTGGCGGGAAGTCCGAGCAGTCGAGCAGATCGTTTGAAGTGGCTGTCTCCCAAACCTCTAAGATTTGGTGTGAACGAACCCCCCACCATAGGCCTCATTGACTCGGCAGCCAGAAGGTCCATCTCTTTATATAACTGGAACGAAAGCACAACACATCACAAAAACCATTGCTGGACCATTGAAGGGATTGAGACCAAATGTGTATAGCCATAGCCATAATCCATAGAAAGCTCACTCCCCCCCATCCGACCCCTGCTACTCACCACTTCTCACCTTGGCAGCTCGCTCCGCCATGAGAAGTGCTTCCTCTGGATCCACGAACACATCAAAACCATCAGCCTCACAAAGGACGGGACTGTTGCTATCACATAAAATAGTCCGCCCCCCGCTCGCGCTGCACTACGCTCGAACTCTCGGAAAAAGAAAAGAAAAACAAAACCGTCGTGATAGGCGTCGCTTTCCGCTCGACTTCGTGACTGAAAGCTCTGGGCGGGCGCTTCTTCTTCCTTTGTGATGTGGAGAACGGAATGCTGTCGCATGGACCAGACGTCGCACGCGGGTCCAAAGAGAAGAATGGTCATCGACCTATGAAAGAACCTGTAGAGTACACTGTAGAGCACAGGTCTCTGCACCTGGAGTCTGCAAAGTGCCACATCCAGCAAATATGTTGCTATTGTGGTTCGTGGATCACCTGCTGTGTACCTGTCAAAGCTGCATGGGTCCCGCATCACCGTCGTTTCCGATACCATGTTTGTCGGCTCTAATTCTTGCTCATTCCATCCAGACTCTCTCAGTCTGCCGGTCAGCTGCCTCGTGCTGTTTGGCAAGGATCTCCGGAACGGAATAACGCCTGGCTGGACTCATCGTCCGTTCTTGAAAGGAAATATTGTATCCAAGTCCCAACTGTCACCAACTACCAGGATCATCCTGTCTCAAGGTCCAGTCTATAGCAGTGTAGGGTAGTCCATTGGACACCAGTTGGATGACCCAACATGACCCAACTAATTATTGTATGCTATATATATTGCATTATTATGCCAAATTATACCAGAGATCACCAGACTGTTTTTGTCATAATTTTGTCTGCATTTCTATGCATTTCTCTTCTCCAGAGTAGCAATGACAGGGAATGACTGTCATGACATGTGTGTCTGGATTGCTCGGCTCTGGCAGCCGGGACTCAACACCTGCACTCAAAACGGAAGTGGCAGTCATGGAAGTGGCAAGTGGATGGCAGCCTGGCACCTTGAACGACCCTCTTCCGAAGACCAAACCATGTTTTGTTATCCCACTTTCCATGATTCCAGGGACTGGAATGGAGTGGACTTCGAGAGTTGAAGGTCGACCTCAGGAGCCTTAGGAGTTGAATTAGCCGCGATAGGCCTCAGGTTGGACAACCAGCTTCGACCCAGATGGGGCAATCGGAACCTCAGTCCACTGGTTGAAAACCTCAGTCCACTGGCAAGGCCTAGTCACAGAAAGCTAGTGCCTAGGGGCTCCTGGCAAGGCCTTGTTGGTAAGGTGCCCTTTTTGATGCCCATCTTCCCTCCCGGCCTTGTCAGCCCATTCTCCTGGCGAAGCTTGCGGGCGTTCTTCCGGAGCCATTCGTGGTCAGCGAGAAGACCGGCATGGACCTGGTGGTGGGAGTCGGTCCCGAGCAGCGAACCGTCAGCTGCCGTTCGGCGTGGCAAACCCGTTCGCCCAAACAAGGAGATGACTCCGGAAAAAATGATCTTCATGCTCATAGTCTTGCTTCATAGTCTTAGTCATTAGCACAATGTCACAACGGGTTCCGTTGTTAATTTGTCGATAGAAGTCCAGTTCGACGATATGTTGCTCTCACTGGAAGTGAAGGAAGTTCCTTTTCAGGTCACCCAAACTCCATAGTTTAGATAGTCTTGGACTCCGAGGGTAGGTGGATTCGCCAATGAACTCATGTGCGAAGTCCCAAAGTCTCTGAATTCCAGCGGCGCCTCGGCAATGTATCGCAGGACCTCTTCTTGGTCTTCAGCATAGTAGTTCCCAACACGAACCGCCTGGTATTGGTCTTCAGATCATCGATGCTCGACTGGCGATTCTTTCTGCCCTAAGAATCTGGGCCCTCAAATGGAAAGTTTTGAGGGTCCAAACCCCTATGAATTCCAGTCGCTGGTCCGTCGAACCACATGCCACACATATCCACACATATGACATTGACAGGATCGCTGCAAAACAACGCTCGGGTTGCTGAAGCCCGTGGACCAAGTCCAATGTTGTCTGCATGCGTTGATCTATTAAAACAGATATAGACCCCCAAATAGATAGAAAAAACGATCCCATCTAAGAATGTATTGGAAGCCGTTTCTAGTTGGGAACCACTACCAGGCCCCCCTAAGGGGTGGTGAATGGATACCCCGAATCACCTCTAAGGAGCTATAATTAGACACCCCTGGCCCGGGGGCCCTGGTGTGTGTATATATATATATATCTACACAAAAGCCATTTATGAAACATCTCTGGACCTGGGTGGTGAAACATCTTCCATGTATCGATGCTTCATCTAGCAGTCCACATGAATGCAGTGACGAGTCTGAGCGTCTGCCATGCCAACGTACTGTCGAGTAGATGATATTCAGCAAGGGCCTATCACTTTTGAGGGGGGCCTATCACTTTTGCAGGTTTTGGACACAATGCCAACATAGCTGAACATATCTAAAAACTGCGGGAATATGCTTATCACTTTTCAGAGGGGCGCATCGCTTTTGCAGGTTTTAGCCCAATTCCTGAAAATCACGACCGCTCCTTACTAAATTAGTCATTGCACGTTTAGGCGATTGCTCATATAACACTCTTCACCACCGAGATCACCAATGCGAGATCACCAATGTTGCAGCTTGTGGAATTCTCCGGTGCCGGGATCCCGCGCGGGCCTCTAAGGCGATATTTCGCTGCCTTACCGGCCGAAGCCCGGAGAAAGCGATCGATCGGCCGACTGTGTCATGCCACATATTTTGTGTTGCCTTTATTGTCTCAAAACCAAGTTAGAGTAAGATTAGACCTAACTGACCATGCACTCTCCATGATCACCCTTGAATCATCATGATAGCTGACAAAAACTAGAAATCTCAACCACTCAAGACCTCAGCTTCGATCTCACGACTAACTAATCAATGGCTAATACCACTGTCCAAACATGGACCTTCAATCATACAAACATAGCCTAGCACATCGAAGAAGAAGCCAGCGAAATCATGTCAAAACCTAGACCATCCATGACCATGTATGCCTACATATGCAGACCGAAGGGTCGCCCCCAAAACCATTCCGATGTAGGTTACATATGTCATACATGGATGGTCTGGGAAAAGATCCAAACAAAAATATCCAAAGAGCATTCTTCATTCTTCACGTCGGGTCATGGACTTGCAAGTGCCGCAGACAAAGACATAGAAAGCCGAAGAATCCCACATCGCATCCGAGTCAGGAGCTGGAAATATATTCATCACTATCATCACTCTTCAATATGACCCTTTTGGCATTGACATAGCTTGACATAGCTTGACTCTTCTATATTGACAGGGCTGAAAGGTTCAGCCTCTTGCATCTCTTGCTCCGCCTGTACCCCACCCACTCGCTCCGCTGGGATCGCTGGCGTAACCGTGATCGCCGGATCGACCTCCTGTGACGTCGTCGTGTCCTGGACACGAGGTGACGATCCAACTGATCGTAGGGGGTAGGTAGAGGTAGAGGTATAGTAGCAAGGTAGTAGGTAGCTAGAAACTAGCATGGGTGCAGGATAGCTCACGCTTGCACATTCATTTGGTTCGTTTGGAGAAACTTCAGTTGGCATCCTTGACCTGACATTCATTCGAGATCCTCCGCGCCGCTCCGCGCGCGGAGGATCGGCGCCGAGAAGGGGTGTGTTCCGACTTCCGACTTCCGGCGCCGTCTTCGTTGTTCGTTCGGTTCGTTCGTTCGTTCAGGATGTCGAGATCTGGTGGACCAGCGGTTGGTTTTTCTTCACGTGCAAAGGACGAAAGACCATGCAGAGCCGGTGGGGCCAGTAGAGATAACAGGAAGCGAGCTTGCAACCCTTTAGCACAGGCATGACGTGGATGCACAGGCAAGGAGCATGCAACCCTTTAGCCGCCTAGCAAGGCGAGACATGTTTGCCACATCCATTTCAAAGGACGAATCTGAGTTCGAAGACTTGTCCACCTGAGGGTCCGACCTTGCCACATCGCAAGTCTTTGCGCCGCCTTTTCAGGAAGTGACGCCTTGCATGGCCATTGTTCGGCCGTGCATGTTCTTGTCCTGACCAATGACCTGATCCGATGGTGTTTAGCTTCGAAAGTGTGGGCATTCGATTCAACATGTTGATCCAGCTGGAGAGTTGATCCATGCGCCAACTGATTTCTTGTTTCAAGCTGTTCACTCAGTTGGGGCCCACATCCGACGGTCCACGTGTTAATGACTGCTAATGTCTTTCCAGCTCATCTCTGTGAATATAGAAATACATCAACATACCAGGGCCCCCATACCAGGGTGGTTCATGCAATCCCCCGAATCACCTCTAAGGCCTAAGGAATTATTGGTGCACCCCGTTTCACGAACCCCTGCCATGTCGGCTCCTTCGCACCCGGCCTCCGCCGTGACGGTGCAGTCCGGCTGCCCGGCCGCCAACGGCCCAAAGCCATCCATGAAGGACGAGCGCCAAAGCGCGTTCCGAGGGGTGTCACATGGGCCGAGAAGGCCGGGAAGTCTTTTGGCCCACTTTCGGCAACAAGTCGGGGTTTCTAGTTTCTAGCCGGCGTTTCCTTTCACCAGGATTTTGAAGGCTTGGATGGAGCGTAGAGTAGCATTCGAGATTTTGGAACAACATGACTTTTGTTAAAGGCGCTGTAAAGGCACAAATAATCGGTGTTGTTTTCAGAAAAATAAAACTTGCCGATTATATACAACATGTTTTTTTCCAACGGACGGCGGTTTTCTTTGCTGTGACAAGGTGGAAAACGACCAAATGTTGTTGTGGCGAAGTGAGAAAAAAAGAAACGGCGGGTGTCCAAACGGCGTCGACTTGTTTGCAACCCTTACGATTTCGGGCATGTGTTTTGATTGTGGTGTCTTTTGATGTTTTTTCACCAAAAAAATGCCTTAGTTTTGGACACACCCATATATGCACATGCCACATGGGTAATCTTGTACTTTTTTGGATTGGTTTGAAGTTTGAATATGCCTGCACTGGGGCTGCCTGGCCTGGCGGCCTTGAGCATCGACATGTAACAAGAAGTTGGACATCAATCCTGAGGTGAATTGGACTAAGAACGGTTGAAAAGAAATAGACAAAAACGTGCGGGGCCTCTTGGCAGTGGAACTTCTTAGGCCTGGCCTGGTTCGGTTTTCTGGGGCGTCTCAAGCATTCCAAAGCTTGCTTCCTGCTGAAGAACCGGGTGCATCACCCTATCACCAGAACGACCGCGACGGAACCCGCAGGAAACGGTGCTCAGAGAGCGCACTTTTTTCACGGATCGTCCATTGCAGTTGACTCGGTATGTGATGCTGCCATTCGTTGCCTGGGCGAAGAGCTGCTCGGTCCGGAAGCTGGGGATCCATGGACCGGCTGGCTGGCTGCAATCTGCAATCCCTTTACAAGAGGGTGGATCGCGGAAAGGATCTATACGAATTGTCCAAGCTCGTTCCTCCACATTCCCCAAAACCGGTCAGGCAGTTGTAGTCTATTCATGTCTATTCCCATCTATTCCCTGGAACCGAGATGGAAGCGGACAATGGACACTTGGAAGACCACTATACGAACAGGTTAGTTCCAGGGAGAGTACTTCCATGGACTTCCTGCTGGCCAATTGGACCACCGCGACAATCTTCTTTCTTCCAAGCTTCTAGGTGTTGTACAGCAGCTTCGCGAGAGTCGGAACTGGATGAAACCTCCGACGACCCCAAAGCGCCAAGAGGGTCTGATTAACGCAAGGTTCAGTGACAGGCGTATTGTTTCAACCCAAACACGTGCATCCAAGCTGAATGGAGTTGTGGCATTGCGCACTTCAAGAAGTAGTTGCAGAAGTATGTAAAAGTATTGCCTATATATCATATTTATATACATGTTTTTACTATTGTAAAAAAAGAAAAAAAACTATAATAAGCTGCATGTACGAGCCAAACAAATAGACTCTAAGCCAGCTGTGAGCCCAATTCATGCGTTTACGCACCTGCACGAAGGACGGTTAGCCCATCATGACGAGAGGCCAAGTATCTTGCCTCGGTGCGAAGAACACAGACAGTGCAGGGGCCCAGAAGTACAAGGTTCCCACTTCAACAATCATGGACGTGGACCATGGCCCCAAAGGGACAACGATTTCTTTTCAATATCAAGCATGGTGGTTTTCGCTCCACTTCCTTGATTGTTGGAGGTAGGGTTTCCCAAAGAACTCAGTGAACACCGTGCACGTGGAATGACTCACTTGGTTCCTGGCAGTTCGAGGCACATTCATTCCCTCTGTTCGTTCGGTCCCATACCCTCGGTATCCAGTTGGAGAGAGCGTCCGCAAAGGAGCCCCACGCTATGATGTTGCGTCTTGTGAAATCAAGAGCGGTACCATGCTGTACCCATGCATACCGGTAATCGATTGGTCAGGTAGGGGGACTCCACAAAAACATGGAAACATCAGAATGACGTGCAGCGCCAACCACTGGCGTGGGACTCCTCTCTGTGCTAGGTCTGTGCACTCACGGTGGTCAGCTACGTCCGTTTTCGGAAGCAGCCCCAGCCCGAACTTCGCGAGAAAAGGCAAAGCAAGCAGCCGCCATCCAAACGCATGCTTGGAAGATCACAAAAATACAAAGCTTTTCACATCCAATATGGCAAAGAATTGGCAAGGCTGGAGGTGATTCTGAAGATTCCTCTTTCGAAACCGGACCTTTTCCAAGGCTGAAAGGCCTTTTGAATCGGTCCTGCGGACTGGATGGGGGCTTACCTGGGTGCTCCTTACGAGTCTCACCCACACCAGCTTGGGGCGTTGCTGCATGGCCATCGCCGGCCGGTATATTGTTGCCCTGATCGGCACGTCCCTTCCAGGGATCCTGCCAGGTATGTTTAACCTGAAAGGATCCCAGTCATCCAGGCACGGTCACGAAGAGAGAGAGAAAGAGAAAGAGAGCCAATCGAAGTGACCAAGAGATTGGCGGAATAGAATGTGTACACCGAAATAGATGGCGACCAGTGGGAACAAGCAAACAAAAATAAATACAAATTAGCCATGCCAGTATGAAACATCGTGTGACTTGTGGGGCAAAAGCTCCCGGTTGCCAGGATCAGTGACCTGGAGCCACTGGCCCGACCGCCTTTTTCTGGCATGGCAGATGTTTGTTCCCCCGCCCCAGAATCCCTGATTCTACACTGCATGCGAGGTTCTCACACATCAAACCGGGGTTGACCGTTGCCAAACGATACGTTGCCAAAACACAACTGACCAGCAAAAATCTGCTCAGCGGGTACCAGTCCAGCGTTGCACCATCGTCTGACTGCTTGTCTTCGGACTTGCTTGTGTATCATGCAGTCCTAAATACCTCATCACTGATATTCAGATGAAGGCTCAACACAAACCTCGAAAGAGTCTTCGCTTCCAGATGGAAACTTCCATGGCGTACAAGTGCCAAGGATGAACACACAGGACGAAATGATACTCCCGAGTGAATCTCCTTGCCAGAGACTCCCAAGGGGTTTGTATCTGGTCACTTGGGACACTGATTGAAAAGAACCGCGAGCGCCCATACGGCTGACAAGGCTGTGCGCAGTACGCAGGACATGATCGTCTGTCATGGTGAAGTGTCTACATCATCTGCCAAGCAATCAAGTAGCCTGAAGTAGCTTTACAGGGAAGTCAGGAGCCTAGCTGTCTATAGAGCCCGCTACTTTTGTGGTCCACTGGTCCATGTTTATCATCTAAAAGTGGCCCAACCTATCCAAACCAGTACTTTCATTGTTTTAGAAGACCAAAGAGAAAGAGAAAGAGACAGAGAGACAGAGAGAGAGAGAGAGAGAGAAAAAAAAAACACACAAAAAAGGTGGCGACGCTAGCCCAATGATTGTCTGAAGTCCTCACCTCTTTAGCAACGTTAGTCATCTTTGCGATGTGTTCTCTCAATGAGTCACCGTTCGATGCGTGGTATATCGTACCTTCTCACCGTTCGATGCTACACTCCACCGCGCCACATCTTGTGGCTTCAGGCAGAAAAAAAGAGAGATCGGAATCCCAAGACAACTCTCAATCATTCTCGTTCGTTCGCAAACATTGGAGGAAATCATCATGCCTGAACATTCCATGCAGGGCTGCAGGGCTGCTGTAGGGCTGCTGTAGTCTGCAGTGGGTGTTTCGCCCCAAAAAACATCAAACCAATTTCATGGCCGAGAGAGTGCCTGCATCAAAGCCACTGGTTGGGCCATCCAAAAAAACCAGCCCATGGCAAGTTCGGCGGTGTTTGACTGGAACACTGATGATTCGTCGCTTCGGCCTCCAGGTTGGCTTTGATGAGCGGAGCGAAGCTGAGCTTCGCGTGGGACACCGATCGGAACATCGTGGGGTCGGCTCAATCGCGGGCAGGCCTAAAGATCCTCCGGTGACAAGCCTTAACCCCATCCGCACGACGGGAACAAAGCTGCAAGAGAATTGCAGGCGAAAAGATCTGGCAGTATCACGGCCTTATGTGGCTATATGTGGCTGTTTCTCATTGATCATTGATGCATTGTTATGAAAGTGAATGCGTTTGACCCATTGGATTCTCACTGGCCTTTGATATGCCATGTTCAATAGCTTGCGCCAAAGAGGCCTAAACAAAGGGCCCTTTGCTCGCAAGCAGCGCCAGATTGGGTGCGAACGTTCAAGGGATGTGTTGTTCGAGTCAGGATGGATTGGTTTTTGACATGATTCGACAGAAGGTGTTGGGAATTCTGGTGAATCCTGCCATCTATAGTTGACCTGAGCGGCAAAGAATAAGAAAACGGTCATGTCATGTCATGTCTATGTTCTTGTGCTAGCTGCACCAAATTGGCTTCGACTACCGTGATGAGGATGTATCCCTTCTGGCAAGGACTCTTCATTGTTTGGTGGTGATCAAGTGCATGTTGGGACAAAGGTGGCAAATGGTGGCAATGATAATTGGCAAGTACAAAACAAGACCTGTGAACAAGGAAGAAGCTATTGTGTGACATTGATCCATTGGGTCATCGGTCATATTGAATCATACTGGATGATTTGATTGCAACCCTTGCACTCACACTCATCCTGGCGCAGAAGGTTCTGGCGGAAACGGACATCCGAAGTGAATCATCACCGTTGTCCACGTCTGGGACAAAGCAACTGTGATATCATGAGGATTCAAGTTTGTGGATTGTCAAAAATCCTGACATGTGTCCACTAAACAGTAGACCTTGGAACAAAAAAATAAGCACTATTTGCTACTTTGGTACCGATTTTCACCCGAACTAAGAACCTTGGGCGGCGCGACCGCCAGGAGTTGTTGGGGCTGTCCCCTGAGCTCTCTTCTCCAAAGAAGGCACAACACCAACACATGGCTGTGGGTCATGGCACCCCGGTATCCCGACCGGTTGGGAGGTTGTGGTCCGACTACATGGTGGACTGGTCGGGCTCCGATCTTCGCTGGAGTCTGAAGCGGCTGCTGCCTGGTACATATTATGGCCAATGGGGGCTGGCAGCCTGACATTTTTCAGGCCAATCCGTTGAGGTGGTTGAAAAGGGGTCAAT